GATACATATACCATTTCGAGACAGTATTTCTAATGTCACGGTGCCCTAGGACACCTTTTTCACTACTTTGTATATACGAAATTGTAGCGCGTGAAATTTTCTATCAAATGATATATGTGTCCTCGTGACTAACGCACAAGTGTGGATCACAGGATGCTCACCGTTGAATAAATCACCCACGTGCTACGTCTTTGCATAAAGTATTTCTAATGTAATGGTGCCGTAGGACACTTTTTTCACTACTTTGTATATACGAAATTGTAGCGCGTGAAATTTTCTATCAAATGATATATGTGTCCTCGTGGCTAACGCACAAGTGTGGATCACAGGATGCTCACCGTTGAATAAATCACCCACTTGCTACGTCTTTGCGTAAAGTATTTCTAATGTCAAGGCGCCCTAGGACACCTTCACTAATTTGTATATATGAAACTGTAGCGCAAGAAGTTCTCTATCGAATGGTATATGTATCGTCGTGGCTAATGCACAAGTGTGGCGCACAGGATGCTCACCGTTGAATAAATCACCCACGTGCTACGTCTTTGCATAAAGTATTTCTAATGTAATGGTGCCGTAGGACACTTTTTTCACTACTTTGTATATACGAAATTGTAGCGTAAGAAATTCTCCATCGAATGGTATATGTATTGTCGTGGCTAATGGACAAGTGTGGAGCGCAGAATGATCACCGTTGAATAAATCACCGACTGTACACGGCTTTTCAGACAGTATTTCTAATGTCAAGGTGCCCTAGGACACGTTTTCCACTACTTTGTATATATGAAATTGTAGCGCAAGAAGTTCTCTATCGAATGGTATATGTATCGTTGTGGCTAATAGACTAGTGTGGAGTGCAGAATTCTCGCCGGTGAATAAATCATCAACTTTACACGGCTTTCCGGACAGTATTTCTAATGTCAAGGTGCCCTAGGACGCCTTTTCCACTACTTTGTATATATGAAATTGTAGCGCGTGAAATTCGCTATCGAATGGTATATGTATTGTCGTGGCTAATGGACAAGTGTGGAGCACGGGATCCTCACCGTTGAAGAAAGAAGAGCAGAACTTTGGTTTCAGTAAATTCGGCCTAGTTTTTTCTGAGAGCATTTCTAAGGTCTGCCAAGTGGCTAGAAATGTTCTCCGGTTCATTCTGCATCTAACCATGTATGTGTCGAGCGAATTCAAGCAGGGGCCGATTTCATGAGGTAATCGGCCCCGTCCTTTCAACTATGCTGAATCGCGTGGCAAAATTTCTTATAAACAGAATATAAAACAGCCTAAATACTGTACATGCTGATGTTATACATCATAGGTAACACTTTTTATGTAAAACAAGTAACGCTCATCTTCGATTCACTAATCCTTGACTGAAAGATCCTGGTGGTAACGAACCGACATGTACGGTGCGCGAAATTCGCAACTTACAGAAAATGACTTTTGTTGTCTTCGGTATGGTTGAATAAAAAACTACCCGAGCTATCTACTTAAAGCTGATTTTGAAACGTCTAGAAGTCATTGTGAAAAACTTTTGATCGTTTGAAAATAGTCCAGAATGAGGAAAATATTCGTATTACTTCCGAAAGTTCACAAGTAGTTTTCTCTGGCTCCCCTCGGGAAGTTTAAAAGCTAAGTCTGGCTAGCATCTAAGAAACAAATATGCCCTCAAAATACACCGATAACGAGCTAGCCAGACAAGCTAGAAGGAGGCGAGATACGCCTAAACACTAAACATTCTAATCAACGTCAACGAACAAATCACTGCCAATCGTTTCGGTAGTTCTTCTTTCATTCCGAACTGCAGAAAGAGTTACTCCGAAACGATCTTCAAAACAACCAATAAACAAACCGCTAATTCGAAAACACAAGATACAGTCCGCTCCAAACAAAACTAATACCAAAACCAAATGACGAAAAGTATAGGTGGCACAACCTCACCAAAACTTCAGTACACGATAAACGCGGCCAATATGCACCGCAGCAACAGTATATGACTTTCGAAACTCTAGAAAAAACAACCACACAAAACCACAAGCACACCGGCGCTGAACATAAACCTACGAAACACGACACATAAGCCAACTATCAGATGTCGCGCCAAAGCAACCACCTGCACCACAATAATCCCCACAAAGATACACCGCGCACAACCCACCAGTAATATAGCAACAGATATACCCAACGATCCACCAAACACAAACATTACCACCAACTTCAACAAAAGCCAAACCCTGATTGGATCAAATTACGAAAACAACAGAAGTCCCTATGGGTAAAGTATGGAAAATGAACAAAAAACAACGCAACCGACAAACTAACATAGCAAGTCGAACAGTCCGTCATTACAGATCGCCACGAAGTTAGTGCCAGCAGATAAAATATGTGAAATTTAATCTCTGACATTTTTAATTCAGGGCTGGCAGATCTAGGATGTCTTGCTGTTGAGAAAAGTAGTAATTACGTGTTTTTCCTCCTCGAATGTGAATATGTCTCTGAGATATCGAATAGCATCAATATTTTGATATTTTAGTTTAATAAAGTCGGTGATAATTGCTTGACTTGAATATACAAACTGAGTGTTATGGCTCATGTAGTCCGGGATAATGGCAACATTTTGAACACCGTCGGTAGTCTTGATATAAATGATGAAGACGGTGGATTGCTGCCGATCTCAGTGTCGTTCTTGTAATTCACGTTGGATAGCAAGTGTCAAATTTTCGGCAAAGGCATGCTGAATAATTGCTTCCGTTGCATTTATGGAATTTAGCAGTTCATTAATGCGTTCTTTCTAGCGCCGGTAAACATATTGATTTAAAACAAAAGCATCGAATTGATTTTCAATTTCTTGTACAACATCTTCAGTCGTAGCAGAAATTCGATGAATATCAACCTGAAATGAACTTACTCGCGCACAAGAAAAGAAACTACTCGGATCTAAGCATACTATTTTATCTGTATATTTTCAATGCATATATTAAGCCATGTCATCCATAGCCATGTGTTAAGTGTCTGTAGGTGACTTGGATGAACATCTCGGACACACTTGATTAACCTGTGCGAACGCATGTGAATTACACAAAACAGCATTGATCAAGTGAGGAGTGTAGTTTTTTCATTCCGACGGAGGGACAGGATCCTGGAATGCTCGACCCTCGCAATAAATTCATGAAAATTCTACGGAATAGATAATTGCTATGAAGAATCTGAAAATCAGTATGAGAGACCTCTAGGACGCATTCTATTGCTCAGAGACATTCTTCCGACTTGGTTTGATAAAAATGATACAGAATAAGTGATCGATCTCTCGAAAATGATCCGATCGAGCTGAATTTTTGTCACCGATACTTCAGACCTCATCTTAGGTTCTAAATCTTTCTAACGTTTTCCATTTCAACTTTCGGCGTTAGAACCTTTTTAAAATAAAAAAAGATTTCTTTTATATAGGATTTTTAGTATTTTCGAATGTCTTGAGCAAAAAGCAAATTCTAAATATCTGCAGTAAAAATTTCAACTCGATCGGACATGGGCTTCCTCGACTTTCAGGAGGATCAAAAAAACGCTTTATCTTTAAATCGGAAGAGTAAAGCAGTTCATAAGATATGCTGAAACTAATTATTTCTTGTATTGAATTTTTTATTGGCATGACGAGTACTGATAAATTCACATCAACGAAAGTAGAAAGAAAAAGAGTAACGAAAACACCAACCGTATACATTAAATACAAAAGAAAATGAATTGTATCATCTAGAATAGTATACTGCACAATTAACGTGAGAGAAACTGTAAAATATAAAAATACAATCCAAAGAAAATTTTATAAATATTGCACAAAAAAAATAGAGTTTCCAAATACAAGAATGAAAGCGCAAGACCAACATTGACTCAAATGAACCACATATCATTAGCAATATTTTGATGTAATACCATCAATTTTGTTTTTATGTCATCCAGGGACATATTCTCGACACTCTCATCACTAAACAAGCAAGATAAGACATAGAAGCTTAGAAAATAGAGTTAGAATCTTTAGCTTCTTTACGCGGTGAAGTAGAGTGTGGAAATGAGAGAAAAAATTCTGTCATTTTGTCTCTGACAAACTCGAAAACGTGTCTGTAAATTCGAAAAACACACTCATTTTTCTGTTTACTTATTGTCGATCTCGCACACTTATCGAGAAAAAGCTTACACATCAGTATTGCAATCATCTTCAAAGTCGAAAGCTCGGCTTTGTCTTGCAGCCAAATGTGCATAATGCACTGGTGTAGGAATACTAACAGATTTTGAACACCGAGCATCAGTATGACATAACTAGAAAGAAGAAGCTTAATAAAGTATGTTCAGATAAAGCAATGTGTCTTTCACACTCATACCCAAAACGTAAGTTGTTGAATTTCATCAGAAGTGAAACCAATTTCATCATGAAGCACATGATACAGTGCTGGCCTCGACGTTCCTTTACTGTAAAATTGAAACACATAGCTTATCAGTATTAGAAAAATCATACATCACGTTATAATGAGTACTTACATTGCCGCATGTGAATTAAGATAAAAATTAAATTGACTGGGATGTGTTATTTCTGTGTCAATAATTGTACCAGCTTGAATATTTTTTGTTTGTTCATTCTCATAAACAAAAAAACGTGTGTTATGTCGTTTTTTAACAACAATAAACGTTAATTTTGGTGTTGGTTTCTGACCATAAACAACTAGAACAAAGATGAAAGCGGTATAACGAATAGTGTAGCGTAAAGTACGATTACATACTTTTACACGCTTCCTGTATGCTTTTAACTTCATTATCCAACACTTTTTGAAATTGTCCGTCGTCAACACCTAGAAAAAGAAAAGAAATTTGCGAACGAATTCAAATAAAAGAGGCAAGCATACCATCACGATAAAATACAATTTTCGTTGGTAATCGATTATTACATGAACTTTGAAAAACACGCAATAAATCAACCACCATTTTTTCCAGTTCTTTAATAATTTCTAGTGAACATCGCTCATTTTTCGGATATTCTGTTAAAAGTAATTATTTTTAAAATTAATTTTATATAGCAACAAATTAACCTACGTTCGCATAAACGAGCAGCATACAATGAGCCAGTCGTATCACGACTAGCAACAACAGCTGCAATTGATGGTTTTTCTTTTGAACACGTTGTATGCGTTACCTAAAATAATATTTAACAAAAATGTAGAGACAAATGAGGTCCAAGTTATCACACTTACATCAGCTCCCATAAACATAAATAAATCTTCTTTTTGTGGACGTTGTAATGTCAATTTTAAATTAACAACACCATTGATACAACCCAATTTTCCATTAATTTTCTGTGATAAATTCTCAACATACATTCTCAGTTTACCCGAATTTCGTTGAATTGCTTGGAATGATGCGCACTGTGTCACAACGCCCAAGCGTTGATTACCCAGCCGTTTTATATACTCATAGACGTGTTCTTTTGTATTATTTAGAATAATCAATGTCAATTGCCACTTTTGTTCACTTGCTTGCAGCAGCTGTTTTTCGATTTCTGTTCGTGTTGCTGGTTTTGAGGCTACATATGGTTTATTACGCAACTGTATACCAAAACAAGTGAGAAGCTAAACAAAACAAAATGTACTAGAAAATAAGAATAAGGAAACAATTCACACTGTACTTGTGGCAAATCATTTGAAAACTCTTCCAAAACATTAATCACGACTTCATTTGGCTGTTCATCAGCAAAATGCAAGACCGCCCATCTTTGAATATCGGGTACGGTATAAAAGTGGTTACGAATCGTCCATTTACCGATATTAACTTGTTCCACAACATCCTCTTGCTTCTGAGTGCGATATATTACTTCAGGTGGTGGTAAAATACGAGCTAATAAAAAGAAAACATCTTAATGCCACTTAAACAAAGGAAATAAATATTATACCCTTGATTTCCATCATTTCTTCTGTGTCAACCACTATATTTAAATCTTTTAAATATGGATCTGTTTGAAACTGACGTTCACGAACACAGCGCATTATTTGTTGATATCTCTCATCGGGTCCAACACTCGACATTTTCGTAACAAGTGCTCGTTGAACACTATCTAATGGTTTGAAACATCGTTGCCATTCCACAACCTACAACACAAGAAGTAAACAAATTTAATTTGGATAAAAATTATCTTGACTTACTTTAACTATCTCCATTGGTAGCCAATTGGCTTGGTTTCTTGAGCCGGCCATTCCTAGAAAAACCGCAAATGGCGAGAAAAGTAAAGGCTAAAGCGAGAAAAGCTCACCATTGATACATGGTAAATCTGGATATTTTAATGCTTTTTTATCTGCAATATACATATAAACAAGCTTTGTGTGACACGATAATATTATTCACTTACATTTTTTAGTAAAATAGTCAGCAACTGTCGTTTCTTCACCTGGTGTACCACTCTCATCATCATTGCCAACGTTAAATTTAATTTTAGATGCTGGACGACCAAATTCTCGAATTCGATAACGTATATTTCGACCAGTATGGAATGTTTCAACTAGACAGAAACGCCGAAAACATGTTTTAAATTCAAAGAATACTAGACTAAATACACTTACTTAACAAATTTTTAACAATGTGTGTCAAAGCATTAAGTTCATAATCTGTTAAGCCTGCTTTTATATCTTTTCGAAGATATTTTGAGGCAAATTCAACAAAATTCAATGGCATATAAAAACATGTAAACGCTATATTCATATTCAATGTTAGTCCGTTTTCTGTTAAAAATAATGCTTGATAAAAACCAGTACCCATACCACGTCCATCTCCTACAATCGAAGCAAAACATTTTAAGCACAAAACTTTTTCCACGATATCCTCTATATATAGTGTCGATGAAGAGTAACCTTTTCTCACTCATTTCTAACAAGAATATAATGTTTCACAAAGACGAATGATTATCCACATGATTCTGTGCATAACGTAGGCATAGGATTCAACGCACGCTAGTTTACAGTAGTTATAAAAATAGAGCTTCTTCGATGTCTTTCTCTTCTTTCTCAAACAATAAAAAGCATACATTAAATCCTACCTAAATCGTGCAGTTTTTGTTGTCGATCATAAAATTGATTACGGATACAAACCAGATCATTTCGAGCACGTTGTTTGAATAAGGTTTCTAGACAATACAAATACTATTTCAAAACATTGCTCAGAAAAGGTTGCTAATATGTTTGAAAACTAAGAAGTTAACTCACCAATTATTTGGATCGCATTATGTGGTCGTGTACCTGTTTTCTTTTCAATAAAATCAAAAATATCACGAATGTTTTCTTGTCTAACTAAATTATTGATTGTTAATTGAAAACTTTTATCTTCATTATTTTTTTTGATCGTTATCTGGAATGGTTTTGTAAAGTGTGCTAAATTTGCACGGGTATACATATTTTTACCTTCATCGTACCTAAAAGAGAACAATGAATGGAAATAAATAATCAAACTGCATTGCAATAACATAAAATCATACCAGATGACGGGAAAATTTTCGCGTTTAGCAATACGCTGTAATGTTTCCCAGCGTTCATCTTTATTGGCTAAACGTAATGATTTGTCGCGACCAATCATTTTTATATCAATATCGTATTGATTAACAAAAGTACTATCAATTGTTACTTTAAATTGGTTGGCGAAAACTTTAATTGGTTGACCGATTTTACCATACCCTTGTGGTCGTGCTACAGGTGTTAGAAAGTTTGATTCTGGTACAACTGAATGTAATACTCTATGACGAACAAATGGCTGATATGATTGAGAACGTTGTCCTTGTTGTTTTTTGCTCGTTGTTGATTCTGACGTTAATGTTACATTACTCATTGATTCAGCTAACGATGGAAATGCACTCACTGATCGTTCGACATGACTGATACCAACGTCATTTGCCGCAGCTTGCGCGCCCGCTGATTTATCAGCTCTTGCTATTTAAAACAAACAGGAAATGTTTTCATAAAGTGGAACAAAAATGCAAGATAGGATACAGTGAAGTCAATCTAGATGAAAGTCTTCTTGTAGCGCTTCATTTTTCATTCTTGTATTGACAGCGAAGACTGACATTTGTCTAGGGATTTAGTGAACACTTCGCGAGGAAATAATATATTTACCTAATCGGTTACACGAACTAGACATAAAACTTTCTGGTATTGTAAAAATGTTATATTCAAAATCTGAAAAAGAAAACAATAAAAAGCAATAATCGATTAGGTTTATTTACAGACTTATATGTTTAAAATTAACACATTATTCTGTTTAAGAAATAGAGTTGTATTATCATCTAGAAGAGTAAAAGATGTATATTCAAAGAAAGTCTAAAATATAGACTCAACGAGATGTAGGAGTGACGATAGTTGTATATGTCAAGAAGAAACGTGACTAAGTAGTAAATGATTGTGCATGTAAAATAATGGAAGAAAAGTAATAATCAGATTTTCAATTCTGATTATTTTGAGTTGATGCAAGCACACAAGGGGTTCACTAATAAATAGGGATGTAAGACGTTAATATGATCATTGTTAACTACACAATTGTTTACGATTAGAGCATCAGAGTTTTATAGATCTCCTAGATGATCATCTGGGGTGATTGCACACTCCATAACCTGAATTCTCACTATACGGTAAATAACTTACGATTTCCTTGAAAACAAAATTCAACGTCTATTCATACTAGATTATGTGATTTATATTGACTACTCCAAAGTATCACTACGCTTCTTTATATACTAGTGACTATGGGTTATTTCAGATCTTAAAGGGTTTTTTCTCTCAACTATTATTGTCGATATGTTTCAATAAAAACACGAAAGAATTGAAATCGAAAGGAATGAAAAAAACCAAACGGGAATTTTTGCACAAATTGACTGTTATGTAAGGAGATCCTCTTACATAAGCAACCAAGTCAGATATCCTTATATAAGATCCTACATTGTATCATATCTGCTTTGACACATATTAAAGACGTGCCCATAAGAGACA